GGAGGATGTGCAATGTTATGTGATCTCTAATGCAACCACTCAACTCTGCTGTCATGTGAAAGCAGCCATAACCCACAACACTTAAAAAGATGGATTCTAACAGAATTTCACTTAGAAAAACAGATGGTGAAACAGATTTACCCTATGGGTCACAGTTTCCCAACATCTGCTTTAGATCTTTAAAGGTGGCACCATATTCTACTCTGCACTTGGGATGTAATATTGTTATTATTTTTCTCTTGTCTTATGAGATGAAGGTGTTTCAACGTCATCTGGTTGGTCTTACCAAGTGATAGCCCAAACCCCTCAGGACATGAATCTAATATGGAGATTGGGCTCACAACCAAGTATATCTACTGTTATTGTTGTGGGGAGCAACCCGGACTAGACTAAGTTACTGGAATTAAGACTTATTCTATGCATCTCCTCTCCCACAATATGGCGCTGAGAAGGGAGTAACAGCTTCTACGCAGCTGCCTCCAGTTCAACCAATAAACTGTAGGACCTGCTCCTGATTGGAGGAGAGCAGCGTACTCGGCGTGTGGGTAGCAGAGTTGGGATTGGCGGAAGAGGACTATAAAGGAGGAGAGAGACAACATGCACGAGGAACATCTAAGAGGAACACCTGTGCAATCCCCCAGAGAGCCGGCCGGCGGTGTGCCGCTCCCCCACGGAAGTGGGGAAAGTGGCTAGGGGGAACCGCCCTTCCACGGAGGTGGAAGGGACGGTAGCCAACCGGGGAAGAACCAGCAGCAAACCCGGGGAGGGCCGAGCAGACGAAAGAACAACGCAGGGTCCTGTGTCGTTCCTCCACGAAGACGGGGAGCGACAATTGTATATTCAGTGAGTTGGAAAAAGATTAGTGATTGGAAATGTAGACACAATGGACCTATTTGTGACCTGATTTATCCTTTAATTAATGTCTTCCAGATATGAAAACTTGCTCATGTCAAGGGATTATAACATTTATTTGGGTGCCTTTAACCCTCTAATCACTCATTCCTAGTTTATTATGATGGTACAAATTGAAGTTTTTGTCTGCCTCTATAGTTTGTTCCTGGAAAAATGTTTTATTAATTACTTATACAGTCCTCTGCATGTCAGATCTCCTTGCCTTCTATTCCAACATTATTTCTGTTTGATAATTGGGTCCATCTGGCCTCAATTGTTTTGGATTTCTACCATTGCTATGGTTATTAGAGAGCTGTGTTATTCAGTTTGGGATTACTGTAATAAAATATCAGACACACACACAAATACACACACACACACACACACCCCTTATGAGAAAAAAAAAAAAAAGATTTATTTATATCACTGCTTTGGAGGTTCAAAGTCCAAGTGGTAGAATGGAGACTCTGCAATAGCTACACCTTGGTAGCAACACCTCACGATATAGGTAGCAATAGAGGAAGCACATGCTAGAACATATAAGTGATTACATTTTTAACCAGGAGTAGAGAGGGCTTCCATGATCATGCTTTGTTCTTTGATAAAGACATTCTCACTAGATATCAAATGATTGCCCAACAACTACCCTCCATGGGCATGAGACCTAATGACAGGGGCCCCAGTATTTCTCACCTCCTAAATATTCCACCATCATGTAAAAGCAATATTCAGGTGTTCAAGCCTCCAATTACATGAAAATTTATTGCAAAACAATTAAGCTATATCCAAACAACAGCAAGGGCCTGGTTGTATGATATCTTCTCCAATTTTTATCTGGAAAGGAGATTAAAAAGGAGAGCTCATGCTGAACTTTTTAATGATTCCAGTGCTAATTGTATCAGAATATTATTAAAGAATTGGTAAAATCTCCAAATGGGTTATGCTGTGAATCAACCTTTTGTTATATGACTAGGGTTTTGTATTGGAGATACAATAAATACTAAGATGAGGAGGGGGGACTATAAGGATGGAAAGGCCAACTTTGAATAGGGAGGATGGAGAAGTACTTCTGCAGTCTAAGGGAAGTTGGTCAACAGTGGGTATGGCACCCAGTTTTCCCATTTCTCCTGCTTGTTTGTATGCTACCAGGAAGTTTATCTGGCTTCCATACTTGGCTTTCAAGTCTGCTTTAATCACTGTGAGCATTTTCTTAATCTCAGATATAGGCACTACCTGGCTGGATGTGGGCAGGATGTCTTCAGCAACTAATTATGTCAATATATTAGAGAAAATATAAGGAAAAAGAAGGGAGGATCAAAATTAGGCACAGCTAAAGGCAACTACTCCTGCTGGCTTACCCCTCCTTGATTGTGTGCTAGATCAAAACTGCACCCACAAGATCAAGTGTCCCAGGGAATCAAGGGTAGAGGTGGTGCTACATGTAAGAGTATCTACTCCTGTTCTCTGACCTCTTTCTGTTGTGGTCCTCTGGACACTATATTCCCACAGCCCAGGAACATGAGGGATGCCTCAAGTGGGTAAAGGCAGAAACTTAGGTGTGTCTTTGTTTCTTGTATTCTTAATTCAGATGGATAAAGCCATCTTCTACATATACTCCTCTGGAGTGCATCATTGGGCACCAGAGTTCTTTTGACCCTCAAACCTTATGAAAAAATTTACTCACTTAAAAATGCCAGTTTAAAAAACAACTAGCTCAAAGACAGCCTACTTGTATGCATGAGATAAACGCCAAGTTCCAAACCACTATAAGATACCCTTGATATACCAAGATCCAGAAGAGAACCCATCCACCATCTTAGAAAGATTGAGAGAGGCATTTGTTGAGCATACTTCCCTAACTCCTGATTTTACAGAAGGACAGTTAATCTTGAAGGATAAATGCATTATTCAATCAGCTTCAGATATTAGAAGAAAGCTTCAAAAACTGGCTATTGGATCTGAGAATATCTTCGAAAACCTCCTGAAGGTCATCATTTTGGTATTCTAAAGTTAAGAGCAGGAGAAGAACAGACAGTTGGAGAGGATGGATAAGAAAATGGTACAGCTTTGGTAGTGGCCTTACTGTCACACCAACATGAGAGTTCACAGGAGTCTCCAAAGTGTTATGGCTGTGGTCAGCCTGGATAATTCAAAAAGAATTGCCCATATTCCCATTGCCACAGAAAATTTCCACAGCCCTGTCCAATTTGCCATGGGGATAATTGGAAGGGTGATTTGCTCCTGGAAACTAAGGTCAGATCCCATTCCTTGGATAAACCAATGGGACTGCACGGGCCTGGGGATTCTCTTACAGGCTCTACCACCCAGATCATCAGTACTCAGAAGTCACAGGTGGTCATAACTATCAGGGGGAAGGGAGCAGACTTTCTCCTCCTGGACATTGGAGCTCTATTTTCTGGTTTTTTTTTTTTTTTTTTTTTTTTTTTCAAATCTGGATCTCCCCTTTTTCCTTAGTATAACTTTGAGAGGAATGTCTGGAAAGCCTTTGGTTAGATACTTCATAGAGTACCTAAGTGGTAATTGTGATAACACGTCTTTCTTATTTTACCAGAGAGTTGAACACCCCATCTAGGGAGAGATCTGTTAGCCTTGACAAGAAACCTCATGGCTCCAAGGCATTCCTATGCCTTTCTCTAATTGAGATAGATATTAATCCAGATATTTGGGTAACCCAATGAGACATAGGCTGAACAATACCGGAACAATCAAGATGGATTATCTTAAGGATCACTCCCCTTTTCCCATCAAAACAATATTTTAAATTCAGAGACCCAACAAGTATTAAAAGTGAAAATAGACATCATAAAGTCAGAAGTACTTTTGAAACCACGTACTAGTCCCTGTAACACTCTAGTTCTGAGAGTCCGACAAACAAAGAATGGAGTCTAGTACATGATCTCTTTCTCATTAATGAGGTCTTAATGCCCATTAATTCCATGGTCACTAACCCTTATATTTTATTGTCCCAAATTCTGGAAGGGACCAAATGGTTGCAGTTTTAGATTTATAGGATTCCTTTTTAGTATTCCACTTCATTGCAACTACTAATATTTGCTTTCCTTTGAGGACCACTCAACTTGATCCGCTCAGTTAACTTGGACTAAGTTGCCACAAGGGTTCTGGACAGTCCCCACTCATTTGGACAGGCCTTGTCCAAAGACCTGTTAGAATTTTCCATCTACAGGCCACTGTTCTACAGTATTTTGGTGATAGTTTCCTCTGTGTTCAGGCAGAAGAGGGTTCACATTATGGTAACAAGGCCTTTCTCAACTTCTTGACATTAAAGGCTACAAAATGTTCTAATATAAAGCCCAACTCTGCCAGCTTTTGTAAAGTTTCTGGGGTTACTCCAGTATGAAAGAATTTGGGCACTGAGAGAAGACAGTATTGAGACAATACTCACCTTTCTGCTTCCTAAAGCCCTAAAACAGCTAGAGTCTTCCTGGGAGTCACAGGATTCTGGGGAACTAGCCTGTCCTTTGTATAAATTGATAAAAGATACCCAGATGACAGGGACCCAATTGTGACATTGGGCCTTGATCCTGCTTAAACAGGCCTTATTTAAGGCCTTGGCTTTAAACCTCCCATTGAGCAAAGTCTTTGATCTGTGTGTAACAGAGAAAAATGTGATGTCTTTACAGGTTTTGAATCAGCATAAGGGAGCAGTTTGCAGTTGTCTTAGCAGGAACTGAATCTGATGACTAAATGGTAGCCAGCCTGCCACTGAGCAATTGAAACAATTGCCTTCTTTATCTATGAAGCTACCAAATTGTTCATGGGACAAAATCCAACAGTGCACACCCCCTACCCCATAATGTGACAAGATTGCTAACTTGAAAAAAAATCCTTTGGTTAAAAGATAATCACTTTTTAAAATATATGGCAACGCTAATGGAGGACCCTACAATTCAGCTTATGTCTTACTCTTCTCTTAATTCTACCACTTTTATCCCAGAGGATATAGATAGCCCCAAAAATGACTATGAACAGGTAATTGTACAGGAATGTGTAACCAGAGTGCACCTGAAAGAGACCACTTTAGAGGCCACAGACTACATTCATTTTATAGATAGGAGTACCTTGATGAACAAAGAACCTGCCACACTGGATGTGCCATAGTTGCCTTAGATAACACTATCAAGAGCTTTCATTCCTCTCATAGCCTGAGTGCTCAATTGGCAGAGCTGGTAGCTCCAAGAGACCTTGAGCTGAGAAAAGATAAAAACATAAATATTTAGGTTTGAGCCCCTTTTTCCTTACTAATGATTTCCTAATGGGCAATGAGACCTCATATGTGATCAGATCCATCAAAGCACTTGTAAAATTCTAACAAGGTATTCAATATCTCCCAGAGACAAAACCCAAGGGATTAGGAAGCTTTCTGTGTATCTTGGGAGGCTCAGTGTTAGGCAAGGCCATTTCAACTCTTTCTTTTTAGAGGTATATTGGGGGGGGTACTCTATATTGTGATTCTATCTACTTCCACTGCAGTAAAAGTGTCTGGATTGGATTCCTCAATGCACAATTCCCAAGTGAAGGCCTTCAGATTCAGTACCAGAGGATAATTTCAACAATTTTAAGGAACATGATGAATACTCCTGCCAAGCTGCCCAAGTACTCAAATTCCTCTTGAATAAGTAAATTGCTATGTACACTCCTCCCCAGTCTTATCCTTCAATGTCTTCATCCTTCTCAATACCATCATCAAGCTGCAGTTATATTGGGAATAGTCTTGCTCTTTGGGGTGTTATTTCTTATCATCTTATTGTTCACCTGCTTAGCTCCACTAGGACAGTGTAATGGCTTTAACCTTGTTGACTATATGCAATATAGTGATGGCTTACAAACATCCTCTTTATATTGGGGGACACGCCTATTGTAATCTTCTCTAACCTTCTTTTACAGCTTGTCTTTTCTCATCTAGAGTCTATTAACCTTCAGATAGTCCAGCATATGCAAGTAGAGATGCAGACCTTCTACCATGGACCCTTACATAGACCTTTGGTGGAGGAACTCTGATTGCTGTCTCCAAAGCCAATCCTCTCTAGCATAAAGCACTAAAATGGTAATCACCCCTTCTTCACAGTGATAGTTAAGGTTACCTCTTCAGAGTGGGGAACTGATAGAGAGAGATTCCCCATCATTTACAGATGCATCTCAGAGGACCTGAACAAAGTCAAGCAACTGCTTTTTGTGAAGGATGGTGTTTGGCATGTGCTAATGCTTGTAATCAAGGTTTTTCTGTGATGTTGTATCTGATCTAGGTAATGAGAATTCTATGCATTTAAAGGGAAAACTTTATGTGTTTTCTATGAGTTTTAGTTGGAACTTTCACTCAATTAACCAATCAATGCTATCCCTCTTTAGGACTAATCATGAGAATGTCCCCTTTTACAGCCTATTAAAAATGCTTAGACAATGAGTCCTCAAAGGATCCCACCTTCTAGGACCCCTCTTGGTGCCACTGGGAGCTTCTCTTTCACTTTTGCATTCTCTGCTTTCTTTCAATAAACCACTCCTGCTTTACACACTCTTCCTTGTCCATGCTCCTCGTACTTCGTGGATTTGAGACACGAACCTGGTGAAAAAAATGTAATAATAAGAGACTACTGAGATATTTCCATCATAGGTAGCATTCACTGAGAAGCAGATTCTAGAAGGACTTTACCACTGATATTTTTTATTAGGGAGTGTCCTTGGGATCAGTACTTGCTGAACTCTGTCCTTAGAATCAGCCCTTAAGGCATTTGGATCTGGCTAAAATGCCCATGAGAGTATTTCAGGCATGGAAAGCCAAGACACTCTGGCAAAAAAAAAAAAAAAAAAAAAAAAAAAAAAAAAAAAAAAAAAAAAAAATTGACCTAAATGAAAGATCTCTGTGAGTGAGATCCCAGTGGAAAGAACAGGCCATCAAAGAAGGAGGTACCTTTCTCTGAAGGGAGGAGAGAACTTCCATTTTGATTATGACCTTGTCTAAATAAGATCAAAGTTAGCAAATTCAAGAGGCTTCCATAGCCTTTGCAACTCATAACAAGAACCTCGGGTGATTTCTGATGCCATAAATAAGAGTGTCAATTGTTAAATCAACAACAGGGGTCACTGTGCACTCACTCCCCATGTAGGGCCTCTGTCCTTAATGTATTGTACTATGTGAATTAATGCTATAACTAGTACTCAAACAGTATTTTATACTTTGTGTTTCTGTGTGGGTGCAGTCTGTTGAAATCTTTACTTAGTATATACTAAATTGATCTTCTGTATATAAAGATAATTGGAAATGAATCTTGATGTAGAATGGGATGGGAGAGGGAGCAGGAGATGGGATGGTTGCGGGTGGGAGGGAGGCTAGGGGGGGAAAGCCACAATATTCCAAAAGTTGTACTTTGGAAATTTATATTTATTAAATAAAAGTTAAAAAAAATAGATAACTGCATGCTCTCTAGCAATGAACCGTGCAGACCAGCTGGAAGAGGCTTTTAAAATCCTGTTTAGGGAGAGAAATGCTTTCAATAAAATATTCGAGTGTACACCTGAGAAAAGGCAGGAAAAAAAAAATACTTTCTGAAAGGAAGGGAAGAAATCTGGATTTGTCAGAGAGAGAAGCCTAGGTGTGGTACAAGTCAATAAAAGCCTTGGTTTACCTCACAGTGACCTCTGAAGCTAAAATATACTGTTGGAACCAAGGAAACCAGTAGAAAATGGCTTAGGTACTTGGGCTCTTGCTGTCCATGTGGGAGACCAAGGTAAACACTACTTGGTGTTAAAGGAAAGTTTAATATTTTGTTAAGTGGTAAGGTGGTCTTATATACTTTCGTAAAGAATGAGCTGTAGCTTTTATTGGCTGAGTATAACTGTGGGCCATCAGAAGATAAGGTTCAACTCCCAATGATTTTTAAAAATTCTTGTCTTATTCATGCCTAAACCTAGTGCTGTGCATGACCAAATTTGTTTTCACTTTATATTAAATTAATAACTAATGTTTCTACAGCAGTATTAGGTAAAATGTTGATTATATAGCATGTTATTGTATATCATTGAGTAAGGACTATATAAAGATTCAATAGCCAATCAGTCCTACTTGTGTTGAGCTCTGCATTAATCTCTTTGACTGGTGTCATCTCTTTTACGTTTGTTCATGGGAATAAGGGACAACTCATTCCAACATGTTTTATGGCGTTAAAATAAATAAAAGGAAGTATTCAGAAACATATAAAAATACCCATTATCACAGAAGGAATAGTTGACTAATATAGGAAGAAGCAATAGATTTGGACAAAAGAGGTATTGTGCCTTTAAGAGGCATCAGCATGGCAGGAGATCCTATGGGTACTTTAGAGGTATAAATTGTGGCTATTGACAACATACTTTGGACTTCTTGTTTCTATCAACTAGTAGGTAAGAAGATTCACTGCCATAGCATCAGAGAGATTCTTGCTGATCCTTAGGAATTGGTAGGGCTGCTCTTACACAAGGGAATTAAGGAAGAGGATGTATAGAACCCAGGTGATCCATTCACCACCTCCTTCTGTTCCCTGGCCCATTCTAACTGTAAATAACCAAGTGCAATAACCCCAGACTGAAGGGTATGATGGTCATAAGTTCACTGCCCTCAGAAATTACGTTTAGAGTCATACTGCAACATAAGCAATGTGATCTGCCAAGGTCATAGCCAAGGACAAGGGGGTTTGAAACAAACAGCAGATGAAATGACAAGAAGCAATGACAGCCCCAAAAACAGCTACAGCAACTGAGGGCATCTTATCCTCCACATACCCCCTTGGAAGTTTAAAGTTTCCCTCATAAAAAGAGGCCCAGGAGAACCATAGAAGAGCAGTACAAAGCTGTGTGGAGTGGTACAAAGGATGGAGATTATGGCCATGGGAATGTGCCCCTTAAGTCCTTACTACAGGAAGAAAAATTGATGGAGAGCCCCAGCTGGTGTAATCTGAATAATTGCTGAATGTAAAAGGAAGCCCTTCTATACAACTGTTACACCAATGAGTGAGTATGGAAGGAATTCAAAGGCAGACATGTTTCTAGGAGAATCAGGAACTTTGGCTCCCCAATGATCTTACCGAATTATCCTTTTGAACTTCAGCCTAAGACATTTCCACCCAACTGTGCTTCCTTTCTTTTCCCTTTTGATCAGTCAGTGCTGAAACCAAATCTTGATATAACAGCTCTCCCAGCTTCCTCTGGCTCTCTCCGTTTTTTTCATAGCTTGCTTTTCTCACAGCTTGGACTAATGCAGATACTTAGTGGGGAATTTTTATTTTTATTTTTGTTTTTGCTGGGCACATTTTTGTTCATGATGCAGAATGAGCTGACAGCAAAGCAAACATGAGACTGGCCAGCCTCAAATTCCCAGGAATTAATCACATTTTGAAGCCTGTAAAGAGACCTTTCAGTTCTTGCTGCTCCTGCAGGTAACTGTAAGGTTTTTTTTTTTTTTCATTTCTTTGTTCAGTTCACTATGATATTGAGTTGAAGAAACGAGTGCCAGAGGGCTGGCGCCATGTCTAACTAGGCTAATCCTCCACCTGCGGCACCAGCACCCCGGGTTCTAGTTCCAGTTGGGGCGTCGGATTCTGTCCCTGTTGTTCCTCTTCCAGGCCAGCTCTCTGCTGTGACCCAGGAGTGCAGTGGAGGATGGCCCAAGTGCTTGGGCTCTGCACCTGCATGGGAGACCAGGAGAAGCACCTGGTTCCTGGCTTCGGATCAGCGTGGTGCACTGGCCACAGTGTGGCGGCCACAGCGGCCATTGCAGGGTAAATCAACGGAAAAAGGAAGACCTTTCTCTCTGTCTCTTTCTCTCACTGTCCACTCTGCCTGTCAAAAAAAAAAAATGAGTGCCAGAATTTGGGAGGAAAAATGGTACAAGCAAATGAAACTGAGCACCTCTGTTTAAAAATCTTTACCAGTAGTAAAGTAGTTCCAATAATAAGTTACAGTTTGCTCATTTTTAGTTGTCCTTCTGACTTCCCATAGTCATTTTCATACACAGTTCTGTTGTTTTATCTTTTATTCCTGAAACCTAACCATGTCTAGTGATCTCAGAATTATACCTCCCTCCCTCAATTTGGTTTCTTCTCCCCTTTTCACATGCTTCCACTTTGTACTTAGGATTTGTATCTTTGCTGTGGTTTGAATGTATGTGTCCCCTTAAAATTCTATGTTGGAACTTAAACTCAATGTGATACTATTAGGGAGTAATGCTGTTAGAATGTGGGATTAGTGACTTTAAAGAGGCTGGAGGGAATCAGCAAGATCCTTTTGCTCTCCTGCCCTTGTGCTATGTCAGGACACAACATGTGATCCCTACAGGGTGCCTGGCAACAAGGCATCACCTGGGAAGCGGACAGACGGGCCCCTCACCAGACATCATGCTTGTCATTACTTTGACTTTAGATTTCCCAACTCCCTGAATTCTGAAAACAAAAAGTAATTACTGTTTATAAATTACTCACTCTCAGAGATTTTGTTACAGCAGCACAAATATACTAAGCCAATTAGTTGTTCATTTACTAAAATTCAACTTCATACTTGGAAAGGAATAAGAATAAACAATTAACAAGGATTTAATCTCTGAAAATTAACATTGTGTTAAATTCAAAACATCTTAGAACATTTTAATCGTTAAAGGACCCTTAAGAATAGAGCAGTCCATTTTTCGGCAACGCTCTTATTCCTCTGTCTTTGGTCCATTTTGTGAGTTTCTCAGCTCATGTGATCAACTGGAGTGTCTACAACCAGCTTAAAAGTGTGGAACACTTTGTTATTGATGAAAAGTGAAGGACAATTTATGCAACTGCTTCACAGAGGTTGCTGGAGTAAGCATATTTCCCCAGTCATTTTTTTTGTAATCATGGAAAACTGCTTATTGTGAGCACTTATTACCCAATTGAAATGATCTCTTCTAAGGATAGAGTGTGATTGAATTTTACCCAATTGGAAGCTTATCATGCGGCATGATTGCCTGTCTTAATGAATTATATACAATCAGAAAATATATGTTCATTAGGCAAATTCTGTGCAAGTATGTTTGTGAAATGCTGGGTTTAGAAGACTTTGCACTCAAAATTAGCAAAGGCATGATCGCAAGAGTAAGCTAGCTCTAAGGCTGATTTTTTTAAATTAAAAACCAAGAAATGAAACAGAATAGCAGTGAGCTGTGTCCATGATTGCTCCTGTGGGTAACTCCTGTCTTTGTCTTCTGCACATCATTGGCTTCCAGCTAAGGTTTTATGTTGGAATCTGTTTTTCATATTCATCTTCTAGTTATGAGACTCTTTACCAATTTGGTCTATCTCCTGTTATGTTTTATGTATGTTAAAATGTTGTATGAACACCATTAAAATGTACAAATATTACCTGCTAATAAAAAATGAAATAAACTTATTTTTAGAAAGAGGAAATTAGAAAAAGAAATATATGTTGAATTCTAGTTCATGCATGCTGAAGTGTTATGCTTGCAACTCACATTCATCTAGCCAAAACAACTTTTTTAGCATCATCAGATAACCAGGGTTGAGGCTAATAATAGCAAATCCCACTATTCATTCATTCATTCAATATTAA